TATTGGTATGAGTTCGTATCCAAAAAAATATGGGCAATGTCTATTTTTTACCCAAACCTTTTTCAAATTCTTTTATTTTAACCAAATCTATGGAAATTCTATTTATTATCCAAACGTATTATAATTTATCAAAGTCTGGGCATTCATTCTGTTACCGTTACTTATTTCGTCCGTGTGAGGGGTGGGATTTTGTTTTGTTTTTTGATAATCTTTTTATTAAAAATAGTAAATGATGGTATTATGACCGTCACGTAGGAAGTCAACTCATTATGGTCATACTTAGTCAGCGTTACTAACAGAAAAGTTGACGGAGAGTTAACGTTTGGATAATTTTTAGGAATTCAATAGGTTTGGTTAAAATAAAAGAATCTGAAAAAGGTTTGTCTAAAAAATAGACATTGCCCAAAAAATATTTATGTCGTATATAGTCATACTTATGAGAAAATTAAGATATTTCGCCATGTTTTTCTCTTAAAGTCTCACTAATCTAATGCATTCTTCGACTTAAAGTTTAGACATATATTTAATATAGCTATGATTTACGTAATTTTTTTTTCTTGTGTACAATTTTAAAAGAATATCATATTATGGATGCGTTCATTTGTAACCTTTTTAGCCTATTTCAACAAATGTCGTGAAAAAAACTAGACATAAGTTGAAGTAAATCAAGTTTTATTAAAATTCAAACAATATTTGTGAATTTTGATACTTTTCACCTCGGTTTATTCGTTCGAATTTTTAATTTGTTATAAAATATTTTTATGATGTAGAATAATTACATATATTGTGTTGGGTTTTTAGTTTTTACTTAAAAATATCGCCAACCCGACCCAACTAGAAACAAACCGTAAGGTTTAGATTTTTTTTTTGGGGGGGGTTGAGTTTAATATTTCTCAAACCGTAGTGCATGTATCGGATGATTAAAATACCTAAACCCGGACCACCCGACCCATGTACACCCCTACTGCCGAATACAATCCCATTTGGTTTGGTTAACCAAAATTAGAACCTCACAAAGAAAAGGAAATTGCATAAAGAAAATCGACAAAGAAAAATTGACCACTTGGCCGATAACGCGGGAAAGGTTGACTTGACTTGGTCGAACCTGAAATTCTTCCTTCCTTTGGTTTTTTCCTGGGGATCGGGACCGCCCTGTGGTACTGGTACCATCTCTCACTCTCAGATGTACGTTTCTTTAAAACCTTCCCCGCGTCTTTGTGTATATATATAGGTCACACTCACTCACACATCAGAAGCGGCCAAGTGTGGAAGGTCCAACGTCTACTCTACTTAAAACCAAAATTCTCGTTTTCCTACCCAAATTCTACTAATCTAGCCAGTTCACTCCTACTATCCTAGTAGTCGACCAAGAAAAAAACTACTCCAGATTTTATCACCAATCTGATTGGCGAAAGCTTTACAACTTGAAAGGAAAGAAGAAGGCAAAAGAGAGAGAAGACTTCTGTCTTGGTGTGTTATTTTTTCCACAATGAGAGAGGGACGTTGGTTTCATGTGTATTTTACTTCATGGGCTTTTTCGGCTTCATGCAACACGATCCATCTTCTGCTATCATTCTATCAAATCTGTTTGGTTGCTTTCAAAGTGGCCCTTTGAATATTCATTTCCTCTTTTCCTAGGAAGTGATGCGTAAATTAATAAACAATAACAATAAATAAGTTTTCGTTCATCCCTTCACCATTTTAAGCGTACAAATATACAAACCTTAACCCAAAATTCGACGACATGAACACATGACGGGTCCGACTCGAAGTTGATCCAAAAAACAATTATGGACCATCACTCAATTTGTCCAGCAAAAGCAATTCAACTTGTGAAACCCAGCACCTCGCAACTTGGAACATTTGTTCGTGTTGAAATTTGAATACAGTCCCCCAAACTAAAATATATTACCATACCAGTCCCTAACAAAGTGACATGATTTATCTTTTCACACTCTTGTCGCTAAAAGTTAAATTTCACACTTCACAGCACAGACTGTCGAGAGTGTCGACAACAGCCGGAATAAGATCAGTTTTTTTTTTTGGGTATTTTTGTCCCTTTAATTTAATACAAAAGTTATTGCTTTCATGTCAATTTTGCCACCGCAACTCATCAATACTAATAGCAACAATGACAGTAACACTTAGTTAAAATACATTACACTAATTCATAAAACAAACATTAGACTAAAGGGAACAAAAGACAACCGATCAATGATAAGGAATAATAAAGAAGTCATATGTTAATGATTTCTGTAGTTATCGACATCGATCTCAAGTTTTGTTCAGGGTTGGTGTTGTGAGGTCAAGTCGAGGTGGAAAATTATATTAAAAAGATTAAGCTTGTATAAGTTTGTTTAATTATTTTTGTTAGTTATTATTTTGAATAATTTAATTTTTTTACAGATAAGGATGACATAGGTTGATTTTTATAGTTAGGTGTCACTGAAGAGAAGAAAATGAATTCAAGGAGGAGAAAGATCGAGGCAAAAGTCTAGGGGTGAGAAGGAAGTGAGGTTTGGCTGTGTAACTCTAAGTCTTTTGTCTGTGATTAATAAAACGAGAAGATTGGAGCATAATTTATGTTTCTTGATTCTGTTATTTGATTAGTAGTTTCTTAACTATTTTGGGGTGTTCTGGCTATTAACTATTAAGGATGCAGTCATCTTCTTGAGAGTTTCAAGCAAGTTATCACAAATCCTGGAGATAAAAAAAATTTGGTACGTAAAAGTTCAGTCCTGAAAGCATATTTACGTAACAATTGGAGTATTGCAAGTTAATCGTCTGTATTAGTGATCTGGTGCACATGAAATTCGCGAAAATATCGATGGTCGTGATACACGTTCACTATTTTTAATCATCATAAACCATCCGATTCTCGTTCGAATGAGTGAGAGTGATGAAGATCTTGTTCAGCCTCTATAGCATTAGCAGCCAATTAAGTCAAATTGTTTGGTCTGTGGACAAAGTTTGATGACCATGAAGTGGAGAAGGGATGGTAGGCGTAAAATGGTGTAAACAAGAAAAGGAGGGAAGAAAAACCACCCACGATGGTGTGCTGCGTACAATTATTGAAAGAGCAAACAAGTAGCTAGAGAAGGCGACTATGGAGGAAAGGAATCCACCAAAAAGACCGTAGACTTTTGTTTCTATATCCTAGGTCGTAAAGGAGAGTGTCGACTTTGGAAGCAACAAACTGCAAATTGCACGTCTGGTAAATCTGGGAAATTAAAAGGAGTGGGAAAAAGAAGAAAACGCAACACGAGAAAGCTAGCTCTAAACTATAAAGGACTTAATTGTAGGAAATTAAGTTTTGAATGGCAGAAGTTGCAGCATCCATTAAATTAATTAGACCGTCTGATAATGATATTCGTTTCTTATGTGTATGGTTACGCGGATCCGTTAACTAATATTATTTATCGCTATCGCATTTCATGTGTTGTTGTTTTTAAATGGTTATCTTGCTTGGTCATATGTGGGAGGAAAATGAAACATTTGTAACACTCATTATCTTATAGTGAATTTTCAATCCCAAGTAATTAAACTCAAATTGTTATTTCAAACGCATATATATTTTTTTGTTTAAAACACTAATAAACATATTTATTGGTCGCATATCTATTTCTAAATACGTACAATTTTCGAAAGGTATCTTCGTTGCTTGCAGCAATTTGAGTAAAATTGTTTCTAAACTCTATTGTTTTCTTCTTTTTCAGGTCATCAAACACTCGATAATACAATAATCAATAATACAAAAACGAATAAAACGTATCACGTCAAAATTGCCATCTTAAATGAATAATCGATAATACAATAATGAACATTCAAACAATTCGTACACATACAAACTCATCAATTAAAAACTATACATGATGTCAGGTGTACATTGGCACTCGACCGTGCTTGGGACGGTACGGCACGAGCATGCTTCGAGCATGTGTTATCTCGTGTCGTGCTTAGCACGACCCGTCAATTTCCGTATCACGTCGTGTCAACCTATTTTTCAAATTTGTTAGGCTCGGCCAAGGTCCGGGCACTATTCGAATCGTGTCGTGCCCATGTTCGTGATTAATGAAAATGAAGAAAATAAAAGAGGGAATTAAAAACTAGAAGAAAATTGGGTAACTGAGAATGTTTGAGAAAAGTCACAAATAAGGAGAATGTGAAAATTGGAAGTATATCGGGTGTGATTTAGCCTCCATACGTTTTAAAAATTATTCGATCATTTTTATTTATGGCAATAATTACATATATTATCTTTATGATAACTTCTAACAACAATAACCAATTTGTACGATACACTTATAGATCGTATCATATTCGTGCTCATGCTCGTGCATATGAATTTTGGTTTGACATGACCCATAAATTATTCATACTCATTTCAGACAGTTTCATATATTTCGTATTCATATCGTAGTACTCTAACTATGTCGTGTCGTGCTACCCCGTGGATGGCTGGCCCTAGTGCCCAGGTACAATGTCTAAGACTACCCACCCATTATTAACCATTTTAGTTTTCCTCTCCATCCCAACGTTGACTTGCTTGTCACGATCAACCGATGACAATATAAATATGAAAAACGAAAATTAAGGAAAAAACGAAATCGGAAAACGAAATATAGTTAAGCCAGCAACGTTGAATTGTTGACTTTTGAGGTAAGATTCGGCATATTCCCGGCCCCATAATTTAGGATTCCGAGCATCACCAATAGCAAAGCAGACCGTGTCACCCTTTCAGCTGCTACAACTCAGCTTTCCCCTTCAATATAAACCAACCTCTCTTCCTCCTCTATCCACTGCCATTAGTCCTCCATTGCCGCTCCATCTCTTTCTCTTCAACCTTCTCGCTTTCTGTTAGGAAATGGTATCTTAGAATATTCAACTCCCACGGTTCTCACGTACCCGTAATCAACCAGTACTTACTCTGCCTCCATTTTCCCCACCTCACATTCATTCCCCACCAAAGTTCCAATCCTCTGAACAGTGAGAAATTAACCATGGCGAGAGAGCAATTGGTAGTGCTGAACGCGCTCGACCTCGCCAAAACCCAATGGTACCATTTCACCGCAATCGTAATAGCCGGGATGGGCTTCTTCACCGACGCATACGATCTGTTTTCGATCTCCCTCGTCACCAAGCTCTTGGGTCGGATCTATTATCACCACGAGGGGGCAGTTAAACCGGGCACTCTGCCTCCCAACGTCGCCGCCGCCGTCAACGGCGTCGCCTTCTGCGGGACGCTCGCCGGGCAGCTCTTCTTCGGCTGGCTCGGTGACAAAATGGGGAGGAAGAAAGTGTACGGTATGACTCTGATGCTCATGGTGCTCTGTTCTCTGGCTTCAGGGCTTTCGTTTGGGCACGATGCGAATGGAGTCATGACGACGCTCTGTTTCTTCCGGTTCTGGCTCGGGTTCGGAATCGGCGGCGATTACCCTCTCTCGGCGACGATTATGTCCGAGTACGCCAACAAGAAGACCCGCGGTGCCTTCATCGCCGCCGTGTTCGCGATGCAGGGGTTCGGCATCCTCGCCGGCGGGATCGTGTCCCTGATCACCTCCGCCGCGTTCGACCACGCGTTCCCGGCGCCGACGTACGAGCAGAACGCCGCCGCCTCCACCGTCCCGCAGGCCGACTACGTCTGGCGGATAATCCTCATGTTCGGCGCCATCCCCGCCGCCATGACCTACTACTCCCGGATGAAGATGCCGGAAACCGCCCGGTACACGGCGCTCGTCGCCAAGAACGCCAAACAGGCCGCCAGCGACATGGCGAAAGTCCTGCAGGTCGAAATCGAAGCGGAGGAGGAGAAAATCGAAGAGATCTCGGAAACCCAATTCGGGCTTTTCACCAAGCAATTCGCCCGCCGCCACGGCCTCCACCTCGTCGGCACCGCCGTATGCTGGTTCCTCCTCGACATCGCCTACTACAGCTCGAACCTCTTCCAGAAGGACATCTTCAGCGCCATCGGGTGGATCCCGCCGGCGAAGACGATGAACGCCGTCCACGAGGTATACGTCGTGTCTCGAGCCCAAACCCTAATCGCACTTTGCGGCACCGTCCCCGGGTACTGGTTCACCGTCGCTTTAATCGACCACATCGGCCGATTCGCCATCCAATTGATGGGATTCTTCTTCATGACCGTGTTCATGTTCGCCCTCGCAATTCCGTACCACCACTGGACATTGAAGGCGAATCGGATTGGGTTCCTGGTGATGTACTCGCTCACTTTCTTCTTCGCGAACTTCGGGCCCAATGCGACGACGTTTGTGGTCCCGGCGGAGATTTTCCCGGCGCGGCTGAGGTCGACCTGTCACGGGATCTCGGCGGCGGCGGGGAAGGCAGGGGCGATGGTGGGGGCGTTCGGGTTCTTGTACGCGGCGCAGTCGACGGATCCGGCGAAGACGGATGCGGGTTACCCGCCGGGGATCGGAGTGAAGAACTCGCTGATTGTGTTGGGTTGTATTAATTTCTTCGGGATGTTGTTTACGCTGCTGGTGCCGGAGTCGAAGGGGAAGTCGCTGGAGGAGCTTTCCGGCGAGAACGAAGAGGACAGCAGCAGTGGGAACGAGGCTTCCGCCAATAGGACTGTGCCGATCTAATAAAGACAAAAAAAAAAATAGTTTTTAAGTTTGAAATTTTCGTCTACATGGTGAAAGTGAGGTGGTGGTGTTGAATTTCTAGCTTCTTTTGTTTTTGGTTTTCATTTTGGGGACGAGACGACAGAAGGCAGTGAGAAGGAATTAAAGGAATAAATATATGTGTTGTACATTGTAAGGTACGTTTCTATTTGAGCTTTATTAGAAGGAAGTTTGCATTTTGTCACTTGGTATATGTATCTCACACTGCAAAATTCTGTACTTTGTCGTCTTCATTTTTCTTCAATCAGCAAGAAACGAACACTTGAGACGTTCATCCGTTGCCGGTCACAGAATGCTGCCATCAGCTTCCCCACCTGGGTGTTCGGACTGGTTCATAAGTAATGCATTAATTGGAAAGGAGCATTAAGTTAGCCTAATTTTAGCAACTAATGTGAATGATAGCACAATATCATCAATTAAGCCCTATTGGTAAATTCGGAAATTACCAATTATTTATGGAATTAGGAAGGAATTCGAATTAATTGACGAGAATGGGAAGGCTGATTCAATATGACAAATGCATGATGCCTGGCAGAACCGGCCCAGACAATCGAGGACCATGCGCCCCTAGAACACACTCGCTTCTGCAAACAAAATCAAATCGTGAGCAAACAAGAGGTGGGACAGGGAGGGTCCACCTAGAGACTTTTTGACCGGCTTCCGCGCTCCGCATGAAACCACAGTCTCAATAGTGTGGCTCAGCCGCTCCATACAGAGGCTAAACATGTACGGTGATGGCGGACAACCCTGGCGAAGACCTCTCGAGGGAGTGAAAGGGTCGGTGTAGCTACCATTCCACATCACGTGCATGCTGGAGGAAGTGACGCATGCCATGATGACTTCGATGAAGTGATCAGGGAAACCTGCCGCCACCAGAGTCTCCCGGAGAAACTGCCAGCTGACACGATCATAAACCTTCGCCAAGTCAATCTTAAGGATCATCTGCCCGTCTTCAGCCCCATGGAGTGAACAACCTCTTGGACGATGATAATGTTATCTGTTATGGGCCTTCCGGGGACAAAGCTGGTTTGGGTTGGGTGGACCAGGTTGCGCATGAGAGGCTTGATTCTGTTAACGATGCATTTGGCCACTGCTTTGTAGTTCACATTGCAGAGTCCAATCGGTATGAATTGCTGGATGGATTCCGAAATCTCCTTCTTGGGAATGAGCACGAGTAAGGTCTCATTGACTTTGCACAGGAGGGAGGGTATCAAAAGCAGTCCGTCGCAAACTTAGACATCGAGTCTCTCACCCTGCCCAACATTTTTTTACAGAAGAGAGGGTGGTAGCCATCACTACCTGGGGCTTTGAATCCCCCCCCCCCCCCACATTCCCTTGATCGCACTCCAAACCTCATCCAGCAAAAGGTCTCGAACCAACATACGTTTCGCACTATCCTCGAGCTGGTGGAAGGCACTCGAAAGCCAAGGGGCAGGCCCCTCCTCCACCTAGAATAGCTGCTGGTATCATTCTCGTGCCATGGCCTTCAGTAACTCCTCATCATCAATCCATTCGCCCTTTGCATTGCGAAGAGAAGCAATCTTATTAAATCGACGTCTCTTGAGGGTTGATAGATGAAAGTAGCGTGTGTTATGATCTCCTTGAGTAATCCACATAGAACTCGATTTTTGGAACCACAAAAGTTGCTCTTGCCACATGATATATTCCAGCTCTTGACGAACAACATCTTCTCTCTCAAGAGTGGCCTCAGAGGCCGCGCGTTCATTGCGCTCTTCCAGACGAGTGAGTTGACACACTAGTTCCTTCTTTCGGCGGATAATGTTCCCAAAAGTCTCCTTATTCCACATCTTAAGAGCTTCCCTGAGAGACTCAAGGGAGTTAGGAAGCAAAGCATGAATCTGTCAGGCATTCGCAAGAACTCTATCAAAATCCTCATGGTTGAGCCAAGCCGCAAGGAACCGAAAGAGTTGAGACTCTCGACGCTGCTGATCCTTGTGGTGACTACAGATGTGAATGGGTCGGTGATCGGACTCAATCCTCTCCAGTTGATGGTTTACTAATTGTGGGTACTTGAGCATCCACTAACGCTTGCAAATGGCCCACTCCAAGCATTGAGACAGCCCACCTCTCCTGCAAGTAAGTCGCGGTCAAGTGAAACCCACCTCGAGTGCCGTTCAAGCAATCTCGAAAGGGTCGAACTCGAGCCTCTTGGTATGGGACCCCTCCCATGCGGTCATTAGGTCCCAGGATCGAGTTGAAATCCCATGCGAGAATCCATGGCTCCTGAGTGATAGAGGAGAGCTATAATGCGGTCCCACAATACCTGACACCTGGCACAATTGGGGTTGCCATAGGCTGCTGAGACAACCACACTGATCCCCTAAAATTCCACGTCTCCTACAGGAAAAGATGATCATTTGATCCCATTTCCCTAGCTCAGTGATTTCCAGTTTCTGATCATTACATAGAACCCAGATCCCACCTGCAAAGCCAATAGCATCCACAAACAACTTCCCATCAAAACCCGTGTTAGAAATAACCCGCTGAGCCGGCCGAGGCTCAACAATGATTACAATATCCGGCCTATACGACCCGAAAAAAGACTTAAGAAAATTAACGAATTTCTCATGACCTCCCCCTGGTAGTTCCAAGCAAGAATGTCAAATATAAAAAAGGGAAAGGAAGTATAACGAAGGATGGAAGAAACTTCCTGACAACCAACTCGGAGCTGGGATCCTAGTTGGAGGAATTGCCGGTCTGGTGGCCTCTTGTTCCCTTCGACAACTGTGTGTCCTTACCCACGGTCTCCAAGATGTGAGCTTTCTCGACACCCGGTTTAGGAGCATTCTTGTTGCTTGCGTTCGGTAGTGAGGTACACCAGGGTCCCCTGGAATAGGTTTAATCGGCGGAAGCGGGTTCGCCTTACCCAACTTTCCAGGTTTCTTCCCTTGTTTGGGAGTCATGCCATTAGGGTCGAGTTGGGGCCCCCCTACCTGCTTGTCGAGTCTTCATGAGAGTGGGAGCTCGGACCCCTAGCGCCACTTTAGCCTTAGATAGGGGTTGGCCCTGCTGGACCGGGATCATGACTATGTTGACGTCTGAAGCATTCGCGACGAAGGTCCTGGCTTCGTGGGGAGAAGAATTGCAGTAGCGTTCGGCTGACTCGGCCCATATCCGCCGAAAATTCCACAGAAACAGTTGAGTCCTCCTGCATTTTATTTACCTCCTCCACTAAGACCGCGAATCGCGAGCCTTCCGTACCACCATCGGTATCAATCTCCAAAGCTTTGGAGTTGGAGGGTGGAGTCTACTTGTTATTGCTGCTGCTACGTTGCTTATACTTGGATTTCGCCACCATCCATTCTCCATAAGGCTTGGAAGAAGGCTGGCTTTCTCCACAAGCGGGCGACTTTAAAGATGGTCGGACACGTAACACATGCATGGCCATAATGACCGCATTCGGAATAGATTTTGAATAGACCTTCATATTCAATATATTAGGAAATGGCTTCAATTTTGAATTGAGAGAGAAGGGGTTTTGTAATATCCACCTCCACACAGACCCGAGCAAAATGACCCATGGTCCCGTCCTGCGTGGCTCGGTCGATCTTGATCGGTCGCCCCATTCTCGATGCAATTCGTTCCGCAGCCTCGCGATTGACAAACTCGATCAACAAACCCGGAAATTGAGCCCATACCATAGTGGAGGCTACCTCTGCTGTCTTCAGATTGAAACCTCACTTCCATGGGCGTACCGTTAGATAGTGGCCTCCAATCATCCAGGGGCCGCCAACTATTGTCTGTTCATAGTCCATCTGGCTAGTAAATCGTACGATGTAGAAGCCCCAGAGAGAGACTTGAGATTTGGAGAGTGCCACACTTGGCCCAGATCGTCTCAAGACATTGAGCAAGGATGTGAAAGGGGACCTTAAAGGGGTTAGTGGGACAATTTGGGTCATCATCCTCCGGGACCTCATCGTCCAAATCATCCCCTCACATTGCAGCAACGACGTCTTCGGAGTCGAACTCCGCAACATACCCAACATCCTCCGTATGGAGGTCACTAAATAGCTTTTGCGTCCCTGCCGACCAGGTTGAGGGCACAGTCCCTTTAGCAGGACTGTGAGGGGCATAGTCATGATCGTGAGATCGAGGCGCAGCTCGAGCCTCATCAACATCCCCCGCCATAGGACGATAGGAAACAACATCAGAGTCAGGCGGGTGATGGTCTGGGGAAACGTTCCCCAGAGCGACGCCACTCATCGGCGAATCAGTAACGCAGACGCAGGGAAATCGTCACTCCGGTTATTGCGGAGCTAGGTTTCTTTATTAATTACTCACAAATTTGTAGGTTAGTGGAATAAACGGAGGGAAATCCGATCGCCGGAAAACTAATCCGGTGAGCGGCAGATTGTCGATGATAACGTAACCAGGTCCAAACGAAGGCTTCACTTCCATTTTGAAGAACTTCTTGTATGATATTGAACTAGAAGCTTATTTGCATGCAGAGTAGGAGGTCTATTTCATAGATTCTGTCCAAGAGAAGGTGAAAAACGACTTAGACCAGAGAGCTTGTGCCCAAAAAACAATGATATAATGAAAAGCGTATGTTACCGAAGAAAGCTCGTGTTTTCAGCTGGGATCGAGATGGGGAATAAACCAAGACCGCCTCTCGATTTTCCAGACATATCAAGGGTCCAAAAGAATGGGGGTTAATTGCAAGTAGGGGTGGACATGGGCGGGTTGGGTGATTTTTCGTTTCAAATTGACCCACCTGCTTACTAGCGAGTTCGAATAATTGTGACCCGCAATCCACCCTTATTATTCTGCAGGTCGGGTTGGGTGGGTGGTGGATGAGTGCAGTTGGATTATGGGTTAACCCACAAAAGCAATTCTTCAGCTAGCCATTAAAAAAGTTGCTAAAATTCATAATAAGTTCATAGTAAATTAGTTAGACGGTATCTATTTAAATACTTCTCACTTTTTCTCAAGTGAATTCA